ACACGTAAAAAGACAAAAAAAAGACAAAAAAAAAAAAAATTAAAATAAAATGATGCACAGAAAACCAAGCGCACTGTAAACTGTTAATCACTAAAATATCAGTGGTAGTTAAAAATACAGCCTCTGGAGGCGAATTGCATGAGTTTGATTTCCAGCTCTGCCTCTCACTTGTACGGCCCTGAACAAATGACTTCATCCCTCAGAGTGTTTCCATATCTGTAAAATGGGGCTATTAATGGTATTGACCTCATAGGGTTGCTGTGAGTACCAGAACAAAGCCTGGTACTTAATTAGCACCCAATAGATATTTGTTTTAATTTGGTCCTCCAAACATCGCTGTGTAATGGGCACTGCTATCTCCATTTCACGGAGAAGTAAAGTGGGGCTCAGAGAGGTCCTGCAAGTCATCCCAGGTCACACAGCAAGGAAGTGGCTTACTAGGTGGAAGAGGAACCACAGGTTCCTGGTACTTGAAACAGTCCCCTAGCCCACAAGTGTTTTCCTTGGGCTCACCCGATAGAATGAAGAAGATGCCAGAAACGAAGGCCAGAATGGTCCTCTGTGGGCGGATGTGGCCGATGTTGCTGATCACGAAAGCCGTGAACACGAGGAAGAGACTGACCATGGGGAAGGGAGTGGCTGTGCGCACTGTCTCTGGGGAATGGGGGACATGGAAAAGCAGGCGGTGAGGGGGAAATCTCCGGCAGGACACCTTCCCCAATCCCTTGACCTCTCCCCTCTCACCGCCTCTGCCTCGTTGGCTCCTCCCCTTTCTTATTGACTCCTCCCCTTCTGATACTTCCCCTGCTGACTCCGCCCCCTTACCCAGGCCACGCCTCCTTTGATTTGATCCTTCTTTCCTGCTTACTCCTCCCCACTGTCCAGGCCCCACCCTTTCAGCCTGGCCCCTTCTCCTTACCCAACCACTCTGCCTTCTTTCAAGACTCTGCTTCCTCCCTTCTACTCCACTCCTTCCCTAGTCCTGCTGTTTCTCCCAGGACCCACGCTGTGATCATGCCCCCTTGTTCCCTAGCCCTTATGTCCCCTCACTCAGAATATTCTCTGTGTTTTCCGTCACCAAGTTGATCTCCGGTTCAAGGAAATATTCTGAGGCCACGCAGCGACCCTTCTCCCGACCTGGGGGGAAGATAAAAACGCAGGGCCAGATGAGAGGCTTCTAAGCTCTAAAGAGACTGTGGGGGACAGGACAGATAGTGGGGAGACCCCAGGCTGGGGATGTGAGGTCTACCCCAAGGGTTATAGTGTGTTTTACTCATAGGGGGTGGGTGGAATGTCTGGGAGCTTCTCTTGTGAGCTGCCCTACAGACCCCTGTATGGAGGTGGACAGGACTGTAACTCTGGGTCCTAAATGGTGGGGTGCTGTGGACCAGTCCCTAAAGAGGATAAGGTCTGGGGGGCCAGGATTCCTGAAGCAAGGGGTTTATGTGGTCACTGGGAGGCATGGAGTCTTTTATTCTGTGAATTCTGGACACTGGAATTGTCCAGGGGACAAGTTCTGAATCTAGACTACTGATTCTAAGGGAGGACTCCAGAGTTCTCCAAGGAAGTTAGGAACCTGGAGTTTGTCTGAGCACTGGGGATCCTAGATCAACAGAATAAAGAGCATTGGGGCTCCAGGTAGAAATTTGAACTTCCAGAAGAAAAACAGGATCACGGTTTCTGGATTTCTGGAACTCAAGGGATGGGACTACGGACCAGGACTCTCAGGTCCCAGGCAAGGAATAAACGTTGAATGGAGAGCAGATGAGGGCTGTACCTGCAAAGAAACAGACTCGCCAGAGGCCGGCGTGCAGAGCCATCTTGACCTCCGTGGTCTGGTTCTGTGGCAACACCGTTCCCTCTTCCATGTACAGCCAGTAGTCAGTGCTGACTGCGATGCCCACCAGGAGCAGCCCACACGCGCCAAACACGCTGCTCAGCAAGGTCAAGGCGCGGCTGCTGCAGTGACTCATCCTCAGTGGCGGGGGGCGCCCTGCGGGGCCTGTGGGATTGGAAGCTGCGGTGGAGAACTCCGATGGAGCAATCTGGGACATTGGACCCTGGCCAGAGACATGAACTCCAAGACCAAACTCTCTCAAATCTGACCTCTGCATCCTGACCCATGACCCCAACTCTGGACTTTGACCAGAGACACCAACTGTTGACCCTCAGTGTCAGGACTGGGCTCCCCTGACCAGAAATTCTAATTCCAGATTCTCAACCCCAGAACCAGGTGCTCCCCAACCTTAACCTCATGCCCTGACCTGAGGCATTAATCTTAGAAATCAGACCCCACCAGAGTCCCTAACCTTGAGCCTGGGCTGGTGACTCAGAAGCTATTTTGCTGATCAGTGGCTTTAACTGTACGACTAGGCAACTCCCATCCCTGAATCTGTACCCTCATCCAAGCCACCACCTGTGAACAACAGACTCCAACAAGGGCCCGTAATCTCAACTCTGAACCAGGACTTAGGTCCATAGACCTGGGGTATTGGGCTTGAACACTGGATACTGTTCATGATCTGTCTAGAAGCTCTAACCCAGGCCACCCAATCCTGACTCCAAGCTCTGACCTGATACCCTGGCCCCTTGCCTTTGGACCATGTCTCTAACTGCATCCAGAAATCCCCAAAGTGGGTCACTAACCAAGGATCCCTAATCCCAAACCCTGGCCTCAGACCCTTGACCTCAGGCCTACCTAAGACTGCAAGCAGAGGCCCCACCTCAGTTTAAACTCTTGGACTTTTATCTTGACCCTAACACCCAATTCTAACACCAAGAACTTGGCCCATGACCTTCTAATTCTGATCTTGTGCCTTGACCTCAATTTTGTACTCTATCTGAAATCATAGTTCACAACCCAGATCCAAAATTCTGGAAGCTTAATTCCACCCTTCCAGATCTGGGTAGGCCCCTGAACCTAGGATGTTGAAACTCTTTTGCGGGCGGCTGGATCCCAGAACATTGAGACCCTGAGACCTGGAGCCAGGATACTGACTAGAGACTCAAGAATATTAAAACCATGAGTTGGGACCCTTCAACCCAGCATGTCAACTAAGGCACCCCAGTTAAACAAGGGAACCTCCTCTTTCGGGCGGCTGGATCCCAGAACATTGAGACCCTGAGACCTGGAGCCAGGATACTGACTAGAGACTCAAGAATATTAAAACCATGAGTTAGGACCCTTCAACCCAGCATGTCAACTAAGGCACCCCAGTTAAACAAGGGAACCTCCTCTTTCAAAGTAGGAATGATTGCTCTGAATTCTAAAATCCCAGTCAGGAATTACAGGATCCCATCACATGATCCCCCAATTCCCTAGCAGGTTTTCTGGACCCTGATTTCCCATGCTAGACTTCCAGTCACAGACCCTCTTCAACATCCAGCATGGAACCTGGATCCCTCCAACACTGGACCTTCCAAACAAGAGATCCCCAGTTCACAGATATGGCCTCCCAAATTCCAATTCGGAACCCAGAGATTCCAACTAGGGAGCTCTTCAACCCAGAACTCAAAGACTCCAAATCTCTTATGTGCAACCCTCATACCCTTCCCCTACCCCCACTCCCCACCCGAAAGAACTTTCCCCCGAGCCATACAATCCCATGATTCGGGAGATTCAACGTGGGATCCTCAGCCTATCTCAACCAGAGACCTCCACATCCCTGAATACCAGTGATCCCCATCATCCTTTTAACTAGGAAGTTTGAGACTCCTAAACACTCCCGCACAGTATAATCAAGACATGAGGCTCCACCTTTCTTAACTAGAATTCTCGTGGCCTCAAAACTCTGCCCGCCCCCCCAAAGACCCCGGAGTCCGAGACAACCTCTCCCCCCTCCCTCCCGCACTCCCAGAATCCAAAGCTCCCACCTCCGCCCCCACCCCACCCCCGGCCTCATGGAGGACTCAAGGATCCGGAGTCTGGCGAAGCCCTGGCCAGCTTCCCACCCATCCCCCTCCCTGTGGCCCCGACGCTTGACCACTAGCTGCCTGCTCTTTTCCCAGTGCTCTCAGCTCGGAAACAAGCATCATAAATCCTGTCGCCCTGACTGCCTCGGTCCCAGGTAGCTGCCCTCAGCCTCCCCCATTCGCCCCTCGGACTCCCATTTGGGACGCTGCCCGTTCTCCCCCTTGTGACTTCCTCCTTTAAGTCCCCCCTCCTTCCTTGTTCCAATTCCTCCTCACTCTGACGGCCTGCCCAGATCCTCTTATCCTCCAGCCCTTCCTCCTTTGGGACCCTCCCCACAGGCCTGCAGACCCCTTCTTTTCTTTCTTTCACCCAGCCTTTCCTGCATCCAGGCACTCGGACCCCCGCGGTCCCATTCTTCAAGTCCCAAGTCCGAACTCCATCTTCCTTCAATCTGTAACTCCCCCTTCCTGGGGACCCCGTTCCAGACTCACTCCCGGCTGTTGTCGGGGCCGGGTCCTCCACCCTCCACCAATGCCGTCGTCCTCAAGGACCCTGCCTGTGCCCTCGCCGGTGCCAAAGGTGTCTGAGACTCAGGCATCAAGAGTGCAGTTTCCCCACCTGGCGCCCTAATCCCGTCCTCCGGGATTCGCCAGGCCCGAATGTCCCTCCATCACCCGTGGCCGCCCGAATTCGGGTGTCCTGGCCGCCTGGACCTCACCCCGGAGCCACTCCGGTCCCTTTGAGCCCCGACCCCGGCTCGCAAACACCTCGCGCGGCGCCCTCCTTCCTTCCAGGACCCTCCCCTCGTAACTCACCTCGCTCAGGGCTGGGCGGACGCTCCGGGCCGCGGGCCCCGCAGCCGCATGAC